CATTTGTTCTCAAAGTGAACAACTAACCAATCAAATTTAAATGAATATTAATTTTGAAAATTAAATTTTGTACATTGTTAGAAAAATTAAAACAGTTAATGTACAGTTTCTTTTCTTTGAAATATATGAATTTAAACGTTATTTTTTGACGGATACTCATATTCAAGGAGGATGCATATTTTTCTGATAAGATTTCTCAAATATTCAGGCCAGAAAATGTAATTGGATAAAAAAATTGTTTAATTAAAAAACAGAGTTTCTATTCAGATATGAGTGTCCATCAAAAATAATGTAAATTAAAAATATATCTGATTCAATCCATTTCCTAAAATATTCATTCATCTGCAAATATTTTTGTGTTTGATTTTTATGCTCACCATGTCAACTGATTTAATTCTTCTAATGTTACTGACATTGTCGGTATTCAGACTTTCATTTATTCTGTTGCTCAGTCTCTCTGTCAAATAGTGGATTTCCTTGCTAGTTTTCCTCATTAATCTAATCAACATTCTTCTTTACTTGATTTATTCCTTACTTCCTCTCCTAGCTCTTGTCAAGAATCATAACTCTGTCCTTTTCGCAATCTGGATGATGATGATATATCTTTTGATATTTCTTTTGAGTTGTCTATTAGACAGGAACCTCCTCTTTACAAAACTTCTTTCTGTACCAGCGTACTTTCCTCAAGACACTCCTTGGATTTATATTCTTAACTTTCCTATTGTGAATTATGCCACAGAGATTTCTTCTTGGATTAAAGCTGGCATCAATGCTTTTATACCTTCTTGAAATTACCAGGTGCAATCACAATCTTCTCCACGGTTTACATTGGCCTGTTTTGCCACTATTGCCCACAGAAATCACTTTTTCTGGCTGTACCAGCATGATAGTTCTGAAGACAACAAACACCTCTCTTCACTCAATTTGAGGTGTTAACATCTGCTGATAAAGAATGTTTTGCTCTTAAATTCTATCCAACTTCTACTCTTGACTTATCTGTAGTATTTTTTTCCTGACTTTTCACTTAGAACTGAGTCTCTACTGAGTGATAAGGCATATAACTCTGTCCATGGTTTCTTCCAATAACTATAAATTAGATCCTCACAAAGCATGAGAATTAGATGATATCTTTGCAATAGTCCTTTTAGAAACATGCTCCTGAACTGGCTCTTGTTCTCTGAACTCTACAATAAATGCTTTACTCCTTGTTGCTTTCCTGTTTATTGGAAATCCTCTTCTGCATTTCCAGTCCTGAAGAACTCTAATGAACCATCTGATCCTTCTGTTAGACTTCTACCTCGTTTTGGCAAAGTACTAGCAGCTCTAATCAACTCTAGATTGGTTAAGCATCTCACCATACGGGATCTTCTGTCAGAGAAGCAATATAGCTTTCACTTCTCTATATCAACTGTTGATGTTCAAGCTTGGGCTGTTTTGTATGTCTCAAAGGTATTTGACAGGATTTGACATGCTGGTCTTCACAAGTTGAAAGGTTATGGTATTTCTTATCAAATCCCCAAATGAAAGTTGTCTTGCATGGCCACTCATCTAGAACTTTTTGCATTAATGCAGGTGTCCCTAGGGCTTTATCCTTTGACCTACTTTGTTCTTAATTTTCATAAATGACCTTCTTGATGTCATCAGTTCTCAATTTTGTATCTATGCTAATGACACAATTATTTACTCCTATCTTAATAGTAAGTCTGATCAGTTCAATATGGTCAAATTGGCAGCTGATCTCAAAAATGGCCTACAATCTATTGTTAACTGGGGCAAGAAATAGCATGTTAATTTTTATGCTTCCAAAACAAAACTGCTCTCTTTTAATCATATAAGTGAAACCCTTTTTGCCTTCCATCAGCAAGGCTGCTGCTAACCTCCAGAAGAATGACTCATTGTGCCTTCTGGACATGAAGTGGAATATTTTATTGAATCGATTGCTAAATCTGCTGCTAGGTTAGACAATTTTTCACATGAGAATTTCTTACGTATTTATAAGTCTACCATTCATCTATGCTTTGAAAATTGCTGCTACATCTGGTCTGGGGTTTCTGCTAAGTATTTAGGTATTTTTGATAAAATACCAAGAAGAATGTGCAATGTTATTGGTCCTGATTTGACATCTTGACTTCAATTACTTTCCTCACTGCCATAACATAACTTTTCTGCACCATTCCTATAAATACTTTCATGGTAATTGTTCTCAACTTTCGTCTGTGGTATATAGGCCTTACGAATTTAAGTGTAGTACTAGATTGGTGGCAAGGTCTCATCATTTTACACTTGAAATGGCTAGATGTAACTGTATGTTCTTAGATTAGTTTCTTCTCTCACACTTCTCGCTTGTGGAACTCTTTCAGCTTCTTGCTTTCCAAAGTTTGATGTTCAAAAATTTAAATGCAACATTAATTGTTATCTTTTGTTTTCTTAATTCCTCCTCCCTAATGTAACCTCTCTTTAAGTGTTTTTTATTATTATTATTTCCCTGTTATCCTCTCACACTCTGTAACTAACCCTTTGCATCCTATTGGTTTCATTGTCTTATTAGGGTGAAATGATTTTAACATGGAACTGGTATTAGAAGTAAATTTCTATTCAAAATAATGAGGGTTGATTTACAAGTAGGGTCTCATCCTATAAATTAATTTTTAGATCATACAGGATAATGAAATAGTATCAAAAAATTACAAGCTTTTTATTTTTTCATATCGTTACCATCTACAATGTCAGATTTTATTATGAAAGTCAATGTTTGCAGATGAAAAGTTGGGTAATTGAATGATAAAATGGTGAAAAAAAAATTTGTAATGTTTTGTCACTAAAGTAGCCAACATTGTTCTGATATATAGAAATTTTATTTATCATATTCTCGCATAACAAAAGTTGCATTAACCAACATTTATTAGTACAATATATTATGTATTTATGTTAAATGTAACATCAGGATTTTTCATTTTTTCTAAATATGATGAAAAAAAACTTGTATATTTATTGGTATTTGTTTTTAATTTTGCATTTATCATGTTTGCCATGTCATTACTGTTACTAAATCTCATGCCATGGAGGCATTATGTCCATGGGAACCACATTGTCCCTCCTCATGGTATTGGCAGAGCATTGGAACATCCTCCAGTGCCCGATTAATTTGCTGGAGGTCCTTGCAGACAATGTCCTTCCAACGGCTGTGTGGTTTGCCATGAGGTCATTGCCAGTTTGCAAATGGTGGATCGGACTGGTTGATGGTTTTGGTAAGGGTGGTCATCAAGTCAACACAGGATGTGACCAAACCACCAAACACAGCACTGAGCAATAGGGCATGTTAATTTTTCACTTTTTATAGAAAATCAACATTGCACTGTGTGTGAAAGCTGGGGTTTGATATACTAAGTATTGATACCAAAGATAAGATTCATAGCTTTTACCAATTTTTGAGCATTTACTGTTTTAAGAATAAACCCAAATAAAGTTGATATCTTTTTTATTACACGGAAAATATGTCCAAACCAGATTTCTAATTATGAATCACCACAAATGAAATATGCAATTTTATTACTGTATTCAATAAGTAAAAACTGTAAAAAAAAGAAATTGTAAAAGATTAAAAAAAAAAAGGCTGCTCAATGAATAAGATGTTAGATCATTTGTTAGAACGTAATTAATGAAAACAAAAAATAGATAAAAGTGTATATAACACCATAATACTAATGGGTACAAATTATAAGACAAAATGTTTTAAATTTGCATTGTCTTTTGAAAAATCACACTAAAACTACTGCACTGAATGATATATTACATCATAATATAGCTAAATTGTTCAGTATAATTTCCCTTTGAAGTAAATGAAGAACTTATTTGATGGCACAATGACTTAGTAATATTGTGCTTATGCCATACATCTTGTTCATATACAATTATAAATTTTATAAGGCTGTGCTATAAGGCTTTCACTGATCACCAGAATGAAATTCCAATACTACAATTTTAATCCTTAAACTAATTTCCTCAAAAAACAATAACAATTTGGAAAAAATATTGTCATTATTTATCATGTCAAACCCCAATTCTCAACTTGAGTACAATATGATGGTTCCCAAATCAGCTCTCCCTACTGAGCCATGGTGTAGAGGGTGCTTGACCAGCCAGTCCTCTGGAAGAGCTCCTTATTGGACACATGATTGGACCAGTGCACTTCTTCAATGGTCCTGAATGTGTGGAACTTGAAGCCATGAACACAGGAGGTAAGGGTCTTGTTGAGAGGCCATGTTTCAGTATGGATAGTAGCACAAAGAGGACATGAGTGTTGTAAACTTGTGGCTTGGTGCATCAAGAAATGTTGCATTGCCGCCATCATGGTCATGATCCAGATGTCTTTCATGGCACCTGCAACCAGTTCATATCTTCTTTTAATCTTCATGACGAGGTTGTCGGTGTTGGAAACTTCTGAACCTAAGTATATCAAAGACATGGCCAACTCACCAGTTACTGTTAATGATGATGGGAGGTGAATCGGGGCCTTGCTGAACATGCGGAATGCCCACTCTAACCTGACCAGTAAGCAACAGAACAGTGATGTGCCATCAATGTGCTCCAGAATGATGTGTTATTAGAAAGATATAATCTTAAGAGAAATATAATATTGGAAAGTGTAGAAAAGAACCATGCAAAAAAAATATATAGGATTCATTGTCAACTTAAGAGCAATAAAAATGGCTCTAAAATTATCACAAAGTTAGTTTAGCAGCATATCAACCTCAATGGGTTATTTACTGCTGTAATCAAAATATTTTGTAATCAGTTTTATTTTAGTTTTGGAGATGATAATGGTTTACAGATACAAGTCTTACTAATTAACCCATAACTGGGGAGAGAAGAGGTAAATTCATACCTTTCCCAAAGGTATTTGCACGTAAGTGAATATAACAAATCCAACTGGAATTGGAACTTGGCTCTCTAATTAAAAATTTCGATTGATTATCTATTACACCATCCATACATACAAGCTTACAGTACCTGGTATTCCCAAGCAGTCACCCATCTAGGTACTGACCAGGCTCAACATTGCTTAACTTCGGTGATTGTACAATCACCAATGTTTGAACATGTGGCCATACACCACTATCACAAACAAATTAGAAAATTAATAGAAATAAACAATAAAAGTGGTTTGACTAGCAAGAAAATATTTGAAGAATCTGGTGTTGAGAATTTAAACAGAGATAAAAGATGTAGAATATTAATAAAATTACCTAAAGGCATGAAAGCAACCAAACTATCACTTTTAAGTGAACATATCAAGAAGAAATATATAAATTGGGCAAAGAAGTACATGAAAATTGATTTTTCAACAATATTTTTTTAGTGATGAATTTTGGGTTACATTGAGTGGACCTGATGACTTGGGAACATTCAATAAACAGTTTCAAAGACAACAGTGGGAATATGCAGTAATGTTTTTGATGTGTACGCTAGGTAAAATTAATGAATATTATTATTTTAAGTTCTTGGACAAGATTGGTACTGATCACGAAGAAGCTTTAAACTAAAGCAACCAAACTATTGCCTTTTTAAGTAAATATCACAGAGAGAAATGTTTCAACTGAGCAAAAAATTAGAAAATAATTTAATAGTAAGTTTTAATAATTAATGCCTTGTGGGTTGTTGTTTTGTAGCAAATTTCCCTTTGAACAAATTTTAGCAAGATTAATTACCCAGTGTGTATATATATATATTTATATATATATATTTTTTTTTCTAATATACAAACTTAAAACTAAAAATAACAAATATTTAAAACTTTTTTTTTTCGCCCCAATAGATGACACCAATCCAGCTTCCTTACCTCGATTACCTTCACGGAGGCCCAGGTATCATAGAGTAGAACCTCAGCCAGGAGAAGAGCCCCTTCCTGCAGGTACATTACCCATCTCTTTTCCTATAAAATTTAGCATTATTATGATTTGTTCTTTTAATTATCTTAAATATGAACAAAAGTAATTGCAAAATTCGTATTTTCATCTAGTGTTGCTACTTATGGATGCTTCAATTATTTAACAATCAGTCAGTTTCTGTTTAACATTGAGCATTTTGTTGCCATGTATATAACATACTAAACTCCTTGGTAGCCTAAAGAGGCCATAACTTTAATTTAAAAAAATGCCAGCCTAATAAAAAAAAAATGGACATATCCTATTACAAAGAAAATATCAGGAGGGAATATTAATTAATATCATTCCATTGATAAACACTTTATTCATATCACCAACATTTGTAATGCCCATACTTAAAGAACGCAAGATCCAAACACTTGCTGAGGATGTAACCTAAGTTTTTCACTTCTATGATTCTGTCATGCTTACAAACATGACAGAAAAATATTCCAAGACACCTTTCTCTTAATATTTCCAAATACATCAAATATTTCCCAATGCATTCAAAAGTTGTATATAATAATAATAATAATAATAGAATTAAACTAAAAACATGCACCCATATACCCAAAAAATCTCCTGATATAAACTACTTTTCCTCAATAGAATTTACTTCAAAATGAATAACATACAAATGTATGTTATTAATTTAGGAGTAAATTTTATTGTTCATCCACAGTCGACAGATGCAGTATCAACACCCACAAGACCAATTAGAAATTTGATGCATGCATATAAATGCATATCTTTCTCATTTCTCCCCATTACCATCTTCAGGAATTAAACATATACACAGACACTACCAAAACACAAAAATATCTACTAGAATTCAGATGCACAAATACACACACTAACTCCATAAGACAAACACGTGAGATTGACCTGACCAATGCAAAAAAAACAAAACAAGACACAGTTAAAGGTGATGAAACATTTTCTTCTGTAAGCTAAAATGAAAACATAAAATGTTAAATTTATAAATGTTTCCTATTTGTTCCTTATTTTATTGTGTGTGTGTAATATATATATATATATATATATATATATATATATATATATATATATATATATAAAGCACTCCACAATAACAGAGAAGCTTGTGCTGTGGCTCTAGATATCTCTAAAGCATTTGATAGGGTCTGGCATGCCGGCCTCCTTTATAGGATTAAGGGATACAGAATTTCAGGTTGATTATTTGACTTAATATAATCATTCCTGTCAAACCATGTAATGAAGGTTATCCTTAATGGATTCTCCTCCAGTTCCTTTCCCACGAACGCAGGTGTTTCCCCAAGGCTCTATCCTAGGCCTTGCTCTGTTCCTTATCTTCATTAATGATCTCCTCAATGTCATCAGTTCCCAAGTAGGCATCTATGCTGATGACACTACTATTTACTCCTGCCTCAATAGCAAGTCTTGTATCGCTAACAAAACTAACCCGGCTGTTAGTCTCAAAAAGGACCTCCAGTCAGTTGTAGACTTGGGCAGGAATTGGCTGGTTAACTCTAATGCCTCTAAAACAAAACTGCTCTCTATTTATTACTCGCCACAGGGTACCATCCCTGCTACCTATTAGAATGTCTGATGCCCAACTCCACGATAGCACCTCTTTGCAACTGCTTTGTCTCATACTGTCCGCTGACCTGAGA